AACAGGAAAAAATATAGCATCCATAAATATATAACCTGGGGTAGTGTTATGAAGCAGAGGGATGCAGACTCCCCAGGCAGGTGCAGAGAGAGAGCCCTTTATTGCAAAAACCAGGCCTTCTAAAGCAGTTAGGCCTTTATCAGTTACATTCCAATTAAGCGCAACAAACGTAATTCAACCAACCACCATACACCACAATATGAACATGTAATAGTTATATAATTTGTTTTTCTACCGCTAATTCAGCTGAGTCACTTCCCCATAGTCCTTTTCTGCTCAGCTGAAGTAACAGGCCTGAGCCATGATTTTACAAGAGTAACAAGGCCCTTATTTTGTAAGATTTTACCTGTATGCAACAGGGTAGGGCTTCCCAGCTGTGGCATGTGCCCTGCCAGTGGTATGCAGAGGACTTCAGCATGGCATGAAGGTATTTAATGAATATCTGAATGCCCTAAGAAACATGGCCCAAGATGGAGACAGGTGCTCCAGAACAGCTATCTCTGCCTCCCGGTGAGATGAGCATTCTGGAGGGAAGCAGAGCTCCCTGTCCTCTGCCTTGCACCTTTGCTCTACAAGTTCATTATTTTCCTTCAAGGAAAGCCCAGTGTGTTTGTGCCCCAATTGTTGTAAATTACAATTGTAAATTGTAAATGTCAGGGGTCCAGGTGAACTGCAGAGCACCTATGTGAAATCCTGATGAAGCAATGATGCTTTAAAATTTTCCCTTCTAACTGCATTTTCTTATATTTTAAATAAGCATATGTTAGCCTGGAGACTTCTGTCTTCTGGAGAAAGCTGTTAGCAACACTGTATATCTCACTCATTCCAGCACATTTTATGTCCCACAAATGTTGACAATCCTGTGGAAAGCAATGAGGATCTGTGCTTTTGACCATCACCTGTCAAGGAGGAATTCAGAGAGGAAACCAAGAAATCAGGAATGAGGAATGGATGGGAGACACTATTTGGCTCATTTGTTTCATCTGCCAAAGACAAACAGAGCTGCAAAACTGGCAGCAGAAGAGAGAGATATGACTCCCATTCCTCTGCAGTCAATCTGGTGAATGCACTTTTACTGAGTATAACAGTGTAATTTTAACAATATGTGCTACTACTGCAGCTATTGAAGTACCATCGTATTAAAGATGCATAATTAGATGAACTGCAGAAACCCAAGAACACGGTTAAAAATTCATGGCATGCTTTGGAGCAGCAGTGGTTGCTGCCATGTGCCGCTCCCGGTAAGAGCGCTCATCAGAAAGGCGGCACCGGCTGTTTCAGGAAAGTAAATTAACGAGGAAGAAAGAAGCCAAGGGAGTTCCGTCCTGGCCTCTATTACTGGCAGGGGCTGTTGCGGCTGAACCCGAGGGGATTAGCGCCGCTGTCAGTGGCAGCCGGCGGGCCCCGAGCGGCCGGCAGCGCTGCCGGCGCTGCCCGGGGGCGGTGCGGGCCGGGGGCGGGGCGGGGCGGCCGTTGCCGGGGCGGGAGGTTTGAACGGCGCCGCCGAGGAGATGAGCAGGATGAGGCGGCAGCAGCCGGGCGGGCCGCGCGCTGCGGGGCCGGTGAGTGCGGGGCGGGCAGGCCCGGCCCGGGCCGCAGCTCGGGTGCCGCGGGGCGGTGTGGCGGGCGCTGCCCGGGGCGG